CTTTGGTTCGTTGACTAAAGCTGTGCTGATGAGCCTTGAATAAGAGAAACTGCAGTTCAAAACAGACGGCGCGGCCAATCAAAGAATGCATTATGCCTCTACTTCACAGATTACATTTTTGATTTTACCTTTTGTGAAAGAAAAAAAGATTTGTAATACAAACAAAGTGAGAATATGTCTATAACTCAAATGACCAGCCTATATATTCACTGAGTGACTTCTTACTAGTTATTGAGGTAAAGGAAAATTTCCTAAAACGTCCAAACAGGACAAGAAAAGGATCAATAATAATGAAATATCTTTCTGTTAAGTGAAACTAGGGTCTTAGTGTTGCATTATATATTATTTATATTACCCACTTCAGTTATAATTAAGATCGAACATATATAAGGGAGATACACCCTTTAACTCATGCTAACTTGTACAAGTATCTGTATCATCTCTTGAAATTAGCTTAAACCTACTCCAAGGAGTAGACGCAGAAAAAAAGGAGCTGAGCAAGTGCAGACGTCTATCAAATATCCATTATAGTATCTAATTTTTACATAAGGTAGTGGTTAATGTATTTTTACGACCTTCTTACATTTAGTCTACCAGGAAGATGTTAATTATATGCAGAATTTGAAATTTTAGAAAAACACTCTGAAAATGTACATAGGATATTCTATATTAGATATAAAAGGTAAAATATGATAATACTAAAGTATTTATCTGTTTACTCAGACAGCTCGATGGCTACGGTTTGCGATACCTCTTTCATTGTTATGCAGATTCTGTGTTCACTACTGAGTTGTATGCAATCATACTTGTGGATTATAAAACTGCTAAATAATACATTAACTGTACAATTTATACCGACTCACTATACTTCCACGGAAATACCTAGCTCCACTTAATGATTGTTCTCATCCATTTCTCTTGGATATTGACAAAAACCAGTTCATTTGTGTCTATTCAGTTTTTTTTAATAACGACTATGTTGGCATCCAAGGAAATGAGCTTGATGATGGCGCAGCCAAATCAGCCTACACTGCCTTATTAGAAACGTTGAGCATATATACACTTTCCATAAATGTATTTTAAGCCTGTCTTAAGAGCGAGGCTTTGTGCCAGTTGGCAGGAAATTTGGGATAAGAAACAAAATAATAACCTTTCCCAGATCAAAGCTATCCTCAGCAGCTGGTCGCCTAGTTTCTGCCCAAATTTTAATTTCCGTCATCATGACTTTCAGTATCTCGGAAGCAAGTTAACTCGCAGTGTCACCCTGAGATTGTGGAGTGTCATTGGAAATAATGCTGCAGAATTTGCTAATGTGTTGTATTATGTACGAATTATAGGTTTTTTAAAGTATATTTCATTTTTTAACCCAAATGACAACAATAATGATTTGTTTTTGTTACTTTTTAAATTTCATATTAATTTTATTCAATACTTTAAGCGGAATAATGACAACTTTGTGTTATAAACCTTCTTTAAATAAACGAAACAAAGAAACCTTATTGGTGTAATATTACAAGTGTTTAATGTTTTGATTTATTAGAAGCACGTATACAATAACTTTATAGAAAAAAAAAAAAGAAAAATAGTAACATTATTTTTCTCTGTTCGTGAAAATGTGAAGTCACTATTTTTAGGTTATTTTAAGTAAGCCGTTCTAGATGGTATAAAGTCTGAAATATGAACAACGTGTATTTATAAGATAGTGGACATTAGAAAGATAGCTTTAGCACAGAATTTTAATATTTCACTTTATCTTGAATCCACCCGACTTGTATCAATCCATCATTTTATTGTTCTTGTGACATTATTATCTTCGGTCGCCATTTTTCCTTTTTATTCTACAAAATTACGTGATGCGTGACAAGTGTTGTAGTTATCCACCAGAGACATGGACCACTGTTAGTTTTATTGAATATTAGCTACGTGGTTTTACACATTACGTACACTCCAAAATCCATTAAGTATTGATGATTATGGGTTGAAATGTAAACTACATTCTGCGTTTTACAGCTGTTCATTTAATTTATTTTACTTGTTCTCGTGCTTGAGGTTAAATCAGCAATTTATAATAAAACTAATAATAAAGTTATCACAAAATGGTTGTTTTTAGTGCAAAATTAAGTAATGGCTTTTCTGCACTGTTCACCGGGGGGTATCGACATCCAGATTTTAGCTTTGTAAGTTCGCCAACTTACCGTTAGTCCACTGGAAGACCCACAGAAATGGAATATGATGTATGATGATTATAAATGTGTATCTATGTATTAGAATAAGTATACATATATTCTTTTTAATTCATAAGGTTAACCATCATATAACGTGCGCTAGTATATGATCACTTATTTAAAAAAAAGCATGTCTAATTGTCAGATTTTACAAACGTATAAAACGAGCTATCGCGAGCAAGACCAATTAACTCTTAGGGCTGGGCATGGCCTAATACTTAGCGTGTTCGGACTGTGAATCCGAGGGTCCGTAGCTCATTGTCCGTTTCTAAAAAACGCACTTCGCACTTGAGGTCGTGAGTGGTCTAAAATAGTGATAGTCAAATCTTAGTATTGTCGTACAAGAGTAGCCCAAAAGTTGGCGATGGGTGTAGCTTGACGCAAAAATCGTAATATAAAACAAACACTCAACTGACACATTTCATCTATACACGTGGTGATATTCTAACAACGAATAGAAACAAATCATTACCAATAACTGAACTACCAACAACAACAACATGGCCAGGTGGTTAGAGCGCTCGACTCTCAATCTGATGGTCGCGGGTTCGAATCCCTGTCCCACCAAATATGCTCGCCCTTTCAGCCGTGGGGGCATTATAATGTGACGGTCAATCCCACTATTCGTTCATAAAAGAGCAGTCCCAAGAGTTGGCGGTGGGTGGTGATGACTAGCTGCCTTCCCTCTAGTCTTATACTGCTAAATTATGGACGGCTAGCGCAGATAGCCCTCGTGTAGCTTTGCGCGAAATTCGAAAACAAACAAACAAACCATATATGTTGTGAACTGTTAACAATCCGTACTTATAACTCTACCAATAACTGAACTACCACCAACAACAACAACAACAAAAAGACTGCTCTTCCATACATGTTGTGAACTGTTAACAATCCGTACTTATAACTCTACCAATAACTGAACTACAACAACAACAACAAAAAGACTGCTCTTTCATACATGTTGTGAATTGTTAACAATCCGTACTTATAACTACTAATAACTGAACTACCAACAACAAAAAGACTGCTCTTCCATACATGTTTTGAACTGTTAACAATCCATATTTATAACTACCAATAACTGGTCTGCCGAAGAAAAGACTGTTCCTCCATACATGTTGTGAACTGTTAACAATCCATACTTATAACTACCAATAACTGGTCTGCCGAAGAAAAGACTGTTCCTCCATACATGTTGTGAACTGTTAACAATCCATACTTATAACTACCAATAACTGGTCTGCCGAAGAAAAGACTGTTCCTCCATACATGTTGGCCCGGCATGGCCAGGTGGTTAGGGCACTCGACTCGCAATCTGAGGGTCGCGGGTTCGAATCTCTGTCCCACCAAACATGCTCGTCCTTTCAGCCGTGGGGGAATTATAATGTGACGGTCAATTTCACTATTAGTTAGTAAAAGAGTAGCCAAAGAGTTGGCGGTGGGTGATGACGACTAACCGCCTTCCCTCTTTCACTGCTAAATTAGGGACGGCTAGCCAGATAGCACTCATGCAGCTTTGCCCGAAAAATTCAAAACAAACAATCCCCCTTGCCGGAAGGAAGGCGAGAATCCTAAATATTTCTGTTTTAGCATGTGTACAACTGTGCTTATTTTTCAAAGATTTAATAACAATTTTATTTTTGTTAAATTAATTTCTAAAAGATAAGAAAGCGTTTCTAGTAGAAATGCCTAATTCTGATAACGTGTTCATGTGTGTGAATAGGTCCAATAAAAGCTGTGTGTTCGAAACAGAACTGCCATTATTAGAGCATATTTGTATCACTTATTTGTAGTTAAGCACAAAGCCACACAATAGGCTAGCTGTGCTCTTCTCGCCACTGGTATCGAATCCCAGTTTCTAGCATTGGAAGTCGCAGAAGGGAGGGTATATCACTTCATATTAGCCCAAGAGATTGTTTAGTCTAAAGTATTTTTTTTTCATTTCTATACATGGTATCGAACATATGAAATATTACAGTACTTTAGCATTGAGTCAAACTATAAATTGTCCCTCATATATATATATATATAGAGAGAGAGAGAGAGAGAGAGAG